GTAAGGAGGATTCCAAATAGGTTAAAACGAAGCCAAAAGCAAATACAGATCAAGCGCGTTTCAAGCGCATTTCAAGCGCATTTCAATGATAGTGAGGATTGCAGGGGCTTCAACGAAACCAAAGAGCAATCGCAGATCAAGCGCGTTTCAAGCGCATTTCAAGCGCATTTCAATGGTAAGGAGGGTTCCCATCGTTTAAAACGGAGCCAAAACCAAACACAGATCAAGCGCGTTTCAAGCGCATTCCAATGATAATGAGGATTGCAGGGGCTTCAACGAAACCAAAGAGCAATCACAGATCAAGCGCGCTTCAAGCGCATTTCAAGCGCATTTCAATGGTAAGGAGTTTCAAACGGAGCCAAAAGCAAACACAGATCAAGCGCGTTTCAAGCGCATTTCAAGCGCATTTCAATGATAATGAGGATTGCAGGGGCTTCAAAGAAACCAAAGAGCAATCACAGATCAAGCTCGTCTCAAGCACATTGCCATGGTAACCAGGATTCCATAGTAACGAACGAAGCCAAAGCCAAACACAGATCAAGCGCGTTCCAAGCGCGTTTCAAGCGCATTTCAATGATAATGAGGATTACAGGGGCTTCAAAGAAACAAAAGAGCAATCACAGATCAAGCGCATTTCAAGCGCATTTCAAGCGCATTTCAATGGTAAGGAGGGTTCCCACCGTTTAAAACGGAGCCAAAACCAAACACAGATCAAGCGCGTTTCAAGCGCGTTTCAAGCGCATTTCAATGATAATGAGGATTGCAGGGGCTTCAACGAAACCAAAGAGCAATCACAGATCAGGCGCGTTTCAAGCGCATCTCAAGCGCATTTCAATGGTAAGGAGGGTTCCCATCGTTTAAAAACGGAGCCAAAAGCAAATACAGATGAAGCGCGTTGCAAGCGCTTTACATGCGGATTTCAATGGCAATGATCGAGGTTTGCAGGGGCTTCTTATAAACCAAAGAACGATCACAGATCAAGCGGGTTTCAAGCGCGTCTCAAGTGCACCTCAGCTGTCTTTGAGGCGCATTTCATGCGCGCTGCACTTGCTCACAAGTGCCTTTGAAAGCAATTGATGCACATTCCAATGTTCAGGCAGATTGTGCGGTAAGGATGATTGCATGCATGAGTTCAGAGAAACCACAGACCGAACGCAGATCAAGTGCGTTTCTAGCGCAGTTGCAGCCTATTACAAGAAACAAGCCACACAAGCGAAGGGCGAATTGCGGATGCAGTGCAATGAACCGCACAACTCATGCATATCAGGAGGATCTGCACCAGTTTTGCAGCGACGCAGAGCAAGCGCGCAGCAAGTGCAGCGTAAGCACAGAGCGAGCGCATTTCAAGGGTATTTCAGGCAGGGCCACACAGCCATGTCACACCTGTGTAACCAAAACAACCTGCAAACCACAGGGCCCAAAACATCAGAACAATAGAAGCAACACATATACATCCATTGATTTCACTCGCCAATAAAATCGTGTTCAGAAGGTAGTTACTGCAGCAACCGCAGAGCAATCCGAAACCACTCGCAAGATAAGTGAGCCAACCAACGCAGAACTGAGAGAATGTGGCGACTAGAACTAAGGCAAGAAGACCGGCTATGGGACTAGCTTCTATACTGACCCACAAAAATTGATTGCACATACTTATCCCAGCTCGCAACCACTAAAAGCGACTACAGAGGGACACCACAAATATCTTCGAGAACTTACTGTTGTAAGCTCACTGCCAGGAAATCAAGCAGTGACTAACACAAATGAGCCATGAGCCTGGACGATACATAGCTCAGACAGAACAAAGTAGCACGACAAACCTTTCAAGGTAAATGCAAGTATCAAAGCCTCGTCAAAATTTACTTGCTTATGTGCACGAATTATCGTCGATGCAGTCTCAGAGTATGCGCCGTCAGGCATGACCAAACGCAACTATTTTCTAAAGATTTTAACTTTTTTAATACGTCAGACCAGGGTCAATATAGGTATACGTATTACAATACCCTGACCTGCGACGTCCATCGAATTTCAATATTCATTCCAATCACGAGAACGGGTCACAGAACCAAAAACCTTGGCAACAAAGCCCTGCCGACCGATCCGAGTGGAGTCAGTGGGGGTCTCCTCCAAGATTTGTAGCTTCTGCAATGACAGTCGCTGTCTCATTCGTTAGACCATCAGAAGGTTGAGGTTTTAAAAACTACTGCTTACGGCTTGGGGGTTTAGGGTTTAGGAACAGCGAGCTAAACAAATGATGCTTGCATATAACTACCCAGGGACCCATTTTGAGGGGACCGCCCGGCCAACTTAAGCGGGGATCTGGCGTACCTTTTTGGGGGCCCAAATTCGCCCAAAATGCGCCCAAAATGCGCTCCTCGCTACGGGCCCCGGCCCCGGTCAACTTAAGCAAGGCTGTGCGTACCTACTCAACAGTAGAAGGGCGCCTGCGAGCCTTTATCAGGCCAATCCCGAAACCCAGGGGTGAGCGGGGATACGCGTACCTATCTTTATATAAAATACAATACAAAGACTCCGCCCCATACCGAGCCTGAGCGGGGATACGCGTACCTCGCCTCGGAAAAACGATTTTGGTCGGACCCAAAAGCTACGAAAATGGCACCCAAAACGGTCAACTTAAGCAAGGCTCTGACGTACCTCGCCTCTTGCCTAAAACGCCTCAGAAATATGCTGTTGCTTGCCAAAAAAAACCCGCCTGCGGCGGGCGCACCCAAACTTTGTCCGTCGTGTGGTTGTACACCATGATGTTCAGCCAATCGTCACTTCCCACGTGCACTGCATCTGCCACCACGCACAAAATGTCCGTCGACTGGAAATCTGACTTGCCCTGCGTGACATAGGCGTATCGCTCCATGCGTGCTAGCCTGTGTGCGTCCATAGAAGCGTGCTTCTTGATCTTTTGCTCGTCCTCCGTGGGGGTCTCCTCCAGGATGCATACGTGTCCACGCATCGTGCAGATGAGTGCCCTGCGTGTAGAATGACATGAACTCGCCATTTCCTCTCGGAAGCCCACAGACGATCGACGACACCCGGCGGCACCCCTTCAACAGCACGGGAACGTTGATTAGTTACTAAACTCAAACCTTAAACCCCTAAAACCCAAACCTCAAAGCTAAACCTTAAGCCCGAATGCTTCCTCAGCTTCATAGTGTGCTTGACATTAAGCGTGTCCAGTAGGAATGGGTGTTGTCCGACGAGTCTTCGCACCTGACAAAGCCTCCATCAGGCAGCGCTACATCTTGGGGCTGGATTCTTTGCGATTCTCGCTCACTGTCCGGCTTGTGCAATTTTAAGAATCATCCTGCGGGTCCATCGCTGTGTCACCTCCTTCACGTCCAGGGAACCTGCTTGGAATGGAACACTGTGTCCACGGCCGTGTAGTCCTCCTCCGCAATGACGACGAAACCATCGTCGACGATCCCAGGCAGTTCCAGCGAATCAACCGGTCGCGCAGTGTCCGGCGTGTCTTCCTGCTCGAAGTGCTCCGGGAATGCTGCATCGACCGGCGCAAGTGATCCTCGTCTCCGCATCTTCAAACTCCTCGTCGTCCTGCATTTGGTCCTGCTGCTGTCCTTCGTCCGACTCAACCTCGGCCCAAAGTCCAACGTTCGCCATCTCCTCCCTCACAGTCTCCGAGTCGGTGTCGGCCTGGTTGTCATCTGGGTCCGGCGCCTTCATGTCCGCCTCATGCGCCCTGTCGCACTCCTGCTTGTCCGCCTCCAGCAAACCGGACTGGACGGTCACCACATGCCACGGGAGTTCCCTGCTACACCAGCCCTTGAAGGCGTACTTCGCCATCTCGATGTACTCCGGCAGTTTATGCGACGGGCCGAGGTCCGGCGGCGACAAAACAATCGCACCACTTCATGTCCCACATATTGGGGCGGTTGAATGTCGGCAGAAAGATGGCGTTCCCCGTCGCGAGGGCGGACAGTCCGGCGGCGCTGCGTTTGCCCCGCTTGGCTCAGCAGATTTTTAAAGAGGAACCACCAGTCAGTCAGGGCGAATGGAGCATATGCAACACAGCTGCAGCACGTAGAGGTTAATGATCAGCCGCATGTTGTCGAAATTGAACTCCGATACAAACGACAGAACTGCGAGGACAAGGAGCAGCGTGTTCCGCATTGGATAATGATTTTGATTGACAAGGGCTGGAGAACCTTGTAGCTGACCGTCCGGGAACCTTTAGCAACAATCAATAACATGAGTTACGTTACAGGCCACTTATCTACTCCGCGCTGCATCGGTGCAACGACACTGGATTGCAATTGCGGTACCTCGTGGGCAAGTGGCGTTTTTCTCCATGTCCGTCAGGCCCAGCCCTCGAAAGTCGATGTCCCAACACATGTATGTCTTCTCGTCGATATTTTTGTGAGGTGCCTGGCCGACGACGCCATTGCTGCCCAACGTGTGAGAATTCGTGCTGGCCGGGCCTGCGTAGAAACACACATCGTGCAGTCAGAAGTGCACACATCGCGTCACTGTACTATCTGATATATCAGGCAAGAAACAGGAGTACGGCTTCGGGCATTGCTTGTCGGAGCCGACAGGCAAAACCTCGCGTCCGTCGAGACGCGAACGTCCCCCGAGTAGCTCCCCATGTTGCCCGTCGGGCAAGGCTGCAAAGTCGAATTGGGAGCGAAGGGAGTTGGCCTCGCATCGGAAAAAGCCATGGCTGCGAAAAATGTACTAAAGAACGGCGAGGATAATGTGTAAGAGACCTGAGGGGAACTAAGTAGTGTATACACTTCCCTAGGACCTCGACAGGCACGCTACATGTTCTGAATGACATCTTGATGCGCATGCTATACGTGTTAAGGTCCAGTATATATGCTGCGTGAATGAAAGACGTCTGTCCGAGTGACAGTGCCCCTGCAAGTCGTCTGCAGTGTTGCTGTGACTGAGGGTAATAGAAGCTGTGCTCATGCTCTAGAACTAGGTTCTGAGTCTGGTCCAACATGTGGCAATCGAAGAACCGATGCTCATCAAACAGCTTCAACCATGCTCGCATGCACACACGTCACATCAGCAACAATCATGTCATGAGCAGAGCAAGTTGGAGGGCGGAAGGCACCTAGTCCAGCGAAGAGCGTGGCATCGGCGATGCAGATAATGTCCACCGTTGCAGAACGACGGGGGATGCACAATGGGTAAGTCTCATCGGGTTGAACTGCGGGTGGCCTCTCAAAACAGCTGAAGAAATACCCCCCAGGCAACATCTGGTAGTCAAATTCTGTGCTTATTTTCGGCCTGTTATCCAATCCACAAATTCATACTACTATTTTCCACACAAATCCATTAACATCAAACCGCTGTCCAAGCGGGTGTTTGCTTAATGTGCTTGCTTTTTCGTGTAGCTTAGAAGCTTCAGACTTGAATACGCACAAACACCACCGACAAGTAAACCACACTCAACTGTCATGATCTCAAAGGTGGGGGTTTAAACTCACGAATGTGCAATTTTTGATGATCATGTAAAACGGCCCAAAACATACGCCCTATCCCGGCCATACGCGTATCCCTGCTTAAGTTGCTCTCTGACAAAGGTTTGGAAGGTGGCAACTTTGGGATTTATATAAGAAAACACTATTGCGTCAAATGGACGCCAAGCGTCCAAGGCACCCCCCCCACCCCCCCTAGCCCCAAGATGAAGTAGGCGATTAATTAAGGCCCCTATAGGCCCTGTAGTAAGTGGGAGCTTCCGAAAAGAGGGGGTACCTTATTTTGGGATCCTTATAAGAAGGATCCTACTATTTGGGGTCCTGTATTAGGGTCCCCTGTTTTCGGAAACCCCCAAGTGTGTTACAGGTCTGCAGGTTTCTAGAGCCCGAAAGTTCTGGAGACTCACATCAGGTCCCAAAGGGTCTAAAGTACCGATATAGTAGAATGCAGGGTTTCTATATTAGGAATTACTGCTAGAATTTGGGTAAGTATTCCCCATAACAGTACCTAGGAACCTTTGTGGGTGGCTGTTGGGGGTACAGAGACGTTGAGGCTTAGCGTATGGCTTCTGTGTTGAGGTTTTCGCATGATGATAATGCCCTAAGGGTCCATGTACCCAAACAGTAGATACTTTGGCCTTAAAGTGGTCCCTGAAAAGGTACTTTGGGGCCCAACTATGTACTATTTGAGTACATGGGCCCGTTAGGGATGGGGATTGAGGTCGGGGTGTTTACTTTGCCTATGATGAACTTAGAACCCTAGCAAAAATTATAGTTTTAGCTGTTTCTTTGGGATTATAATAGCCAAACAATAAAATATATTCAAAGTACCCCCAAGTTGCGGTGCTCGCCACCCTGTAACCCCACACACAACGAGATAAGTTGACGGATGGATAGGGGTCCACAGCTACAGCGATCAGGAGGGCGGAAGATCGAGAGAGAGTCCTATTTATATTAATACAAACGCACGCCTAGACGAGCAGAAAGAGATTGCCAAACAAGTCCAGGAGTACCAGAGTCGGTGGCAATATGTGGTATCCCAGAGTACCAGGAGCTTCTCCGAACACTTCAGGATAGCCCCCATACTCAGGATCGCTTGAGATTTCTCATCCTCACTTCCCTGGTTGATGCACAGGACATCCACAAAGATCTTCTGCCAGGGTCGCCAGAAGACAAGCCTGGGTGGTAGATTTGGGGCCCCTTAAAACTATTTCTGAGTAGATACCTCTCAAAAGAGGCCATAAAAAACATCAATGTAGATACCTTAATGAGTCGGAAAGGACCTTGGGGTATATTATACAAAAACCACACTAAGGAACACACCACCCCCCTCCCCCCCCCAAAAAAAAAAAAAACTGTGTAGCTATTTAGGTTGGCTGACTTCTGAAGCCCTCCTAGATTGAACTTTTAGCCTCCTTGTTATAGTTCATATAGAAACTCAAAAATTAAAGTCCTAAGTGCCAACCAGAAGAAGGCCAAGAACCTGGACGCTCATGTCTTGTCTGGGCCTCCCGAATTCTAAAACGATAGTAACAGGTTTCCCAAGTGCCACCTAGAAACACCAGGCAAAACAGCAAGGAGCCGGCGACGCTGCACCACCACGAGCTAAAAGGGTAAATCGGCCTCGGTCTAGAGAGAGCTATGATTTTAGGAATTTGGGTTGAGGGGTTTAGGGTTGAGGGTTTTAAGATTTAGGGCTTAGGGGTTCAGGGTTGAGGTTTAGGCTCCTCGATTTGTGTGTTGGTTGGGTTACAGATGAGGCAGACTCTCTTGACGGGGGTGATTCTGTATTAAGGGTCCATGTACCTGGAGCGAATATTTCAGTATGACCAGACAAAGGAACCCCAAGGAATGGGCCAAACCCCTCAACCCCGAAAGCCTAAATCGACAAGGAACTCCTCTTGAAATCGTGGTGGCAATAGTCCAGCACCCACGATGAAGGCCAAGACAACGCTCATGAAGGTAGCAACCGCAGTTGCGAGCATGCCTGGGAAACCACAAACCCTTAGTGCGCTCAGGGTTGGGCCGTCAACCCTCCTTGAAGTTTGGATCGGATGTTGACTGTTAGGTAGTTGTGGTGGGAACTCACTGACCTGCTTGCTTCATGATCATATCGGAGACAGAGCAAAATCCTTAGATTTCGCGTCCAGGAGGCCCACCCCAAAATCCTGAAGCCCAAACCGACAGTTTAGGGTCTAGGTCTTAAGATAGGGTTTTCCTAGACCCCCCAACTACCCTCTACTATACCCTAAATACCCACTATTAAGGACCATAAGGGCTCTATTAAAGGGTATTTGGGGGGTCCTGGTTGGGTTTGGGGTTTAGGGGTTTAGTCCCGAAGCCGGAACCCGAAGCCTCAAACCCAAGCGGCCGTTCTTCAGGTACATGGCTGTCAACGCCTTGTTCCACTTCCGGCCGTGCCAGCTGTGACTCCAAAACTCATCGATTTCCTGGGTTGCGCACCCAAAAACTCCAATATCCTTTAATTGAGGAATATACCTTAAACTATAGTAGGAACCCTAGTATGATTTAAGGAATAATCGTAGGAACCCTGATATGATTTAAGGGATATTCCTTAACTAAGGGATATTGGAGTCTCTGGGCAATTGAGTCCACGACTAAGTACGGCTTTTAGGGCTTCGGGTTTTTTCGTCTCGTGGGTTCAGGGTTTCGGGGGTTTAGGGTTTAGGGTTTAGGGGTTTAGGGGTTTAGGGTTTCGGCTTTTGGGTTTAGGGGTTAGGGTTTCGGGTTTGGGGATTAGGGTTTAGGGGTTTTGGGTTTAGGGTTTCGGGTTTAGGGTTTTGGGGTTTAGGGTTTCGGGGGTTTCGGGTTTAGGGTTTTGGGGTTTAGGGGTTTAGGGTTTAGGGTTTCGGGTTTCGGGTTTAGGGGTTTTGGGTTTCGGGGGTTTCGGGGGTTTCGGGTTTCGGGGGTTTCGGGGGTTTCGGGTTTAGGGTTTAGGGGTTTAGGGTTTAGGGTTTCTCAGGGCAAGCAGCAGGGCAGGGGAGGGCAGGGCAGGGCGGGCCAGGGCCAGTGGCAGGGGCAAGACAGCAGGCAGGGACACGGGGGCCGGGTCATATTGTTCTGATTGGCTAGCATGCCTGTCGCAATGCGCCAGCACCTGAGCCGGTGCTGGGGCTCCTCCGCTGCGCCTGTCGCGCCAGCTCCGGAGCCAGCCTCACTGACGCTTCGGCACGCTCGCTGCTGCTATCGCAGCGCCCGCAGCTCGCTCCAGTTTAGGGTTTTGGGGTTTAGGGTTTTGGGTTTAGGGTTTAGGGTTTTGGGTTTTGGGTTTAGGGTTTTGGGTTTAGGGGTTTAGGGTTTTGGGTTTAGGGTTTCGGGTTTAGGGTTTCGGGTTAAGGGTTATTGCAATGTCGGCATCTAGTAAGTGGTTTTGGGTGTCCACTATTTGCTAGGTTCTTGTGAAGGAACTTACTTTATGTTGCCGAAGTATGGGGATCCGCAGTAAACTATAGGAGTTCCTTGTTATGGTAACGTATTATATAAGATAACCTCCCTACCCCTACGGGTCCATGTACCCATATAGTACATACTTAGGCCCCAAAGTACCTTTTCAAGGACCACTTTAAGGCCAACGTATCTACTATTTGGGTACATGGGGACCCTTAGGGTAGGGAAGCACTGTTGATGGTATAAATCCTGCATGACCCATAATAAGGAATATACCATAATTCCCATAGTTTTGGGTCCTTAAGGTCATGCAGGATTTATACCATCAACCGTATCGATAGGGGTTGAGGAATACATGTCCCCAAACCCTAAACCCAAAGTTTAGGGCTTCGGCCTCGGCTTGGAGTTGATGATGATAGGGCTGAGGGGTTTAGGGGTTTAGGAGTGTAGGGGTATAGGGTTTTAGGGCCTAGGGGTTTCGGAGTCTGGGGGTTTAGGAGTTTAGGGCTCAGAGTTTGGCCACAGTGGCGGTGGTTTCAAAGGACTTCTCCGCCATGACGCCGGTCGGTGCTCGCAGCGCTTGGGCAAACCACCTCCAACATCGCTCAGTCTGGGGCTTCTGATCGGTGCCCCCATACAGTAACAGTCTATAATAGGGCTACTGTTAGGGGCCTACTTAAAGGATCATGGGACTCAGTAATTGGGGTTATAAATAAGGTAACTCCGGTTAGAAATACTTAAAACCTCAATTAAGGTACTTATAACCAGACTTGCTCAGTCCCAGGATCCTCGAAGTAATATATCTATATTGTGAATATAATCCAACTGTTACTGAGAGGGGGCAGTACCCAAGCTTCGCATTTAACCAACTTCGAACCCGAGAGAAAGAGTTGTTGGCTTCCTGTAAAGCGGGCCTCAACCCTGAACCAGCTCAGTAAGGCCACAAGTCTAAGCTCATGCCAAGGATGCGAAGTACAGGGAGGCTGTAGTGTCGCATAATGCATGCAATACACATTTCCTGCGTTTGGCAGAAAGTTCGGAATCTTGAGTCTTCTGTGTGCGCGCCTTCTAAGAGGCCTGAAAGTTCGAGAGTTTGAGAGTTCGAGGGTTTGGAAAGTTCACTAAACCCTAAACCCTCAACCCTAAACCCTAAACGGTTTTGCTACATGTCGAGTTTGAAAGTCTGATGGTCCACCGACTTTGGAAAGCGAAAATCAACCCTGTGTTGGTTCCCCATCCTTCAATCCTGAATTCTCAGGTTTCCCTGTCGCCCGCCGGCTTCGCACATTTAAGGGTTCTGTGACATATGGGTGGTTGTCAACATTAGGGTCCCTTCTCGGGTCCTTAATACAATACGACACCTAATATTTAGGGTACCTAAAAAGTGACCTTAATGTTGACAACTACCCATATCTACGGACTCAGATTTTGGGGCTTGTGGGTTGGCTTCATAAACTCATTTTCGGCTTTGGGCCTGTCTCGAGCCTCAGAGTTTGCAGCTTAGCAGGGTTTGATACGTACGGTAACACGACTTTTGCACCGTTACCGAATTACGGCACTTGTAAACTTCAATACTAAGTCTCGTGACTTCTAAGCATGGATCACATGTATACTCAACTCAGCCCCCAAATGCACCAGAGGCACTGGTAGAACCCTATTTCCCTGTACCCCATACCTCTGGATCCAAAAACCCACCGTTTTAAGGGTCAGACCCTCTGATTAAGGGGTCATAACCTACTATTTTGAAGGGTTTGGGGATACAGGTAAACCATACTTGGGATCTTAGTATGATTTCAGGAATATATTCCCCTTACTTATAAGGGATATTGGAGTCTCTTGGTTCTTCAAAGGTTCCGGGATACAGGTAGACCCTGACCCGAGGACTCAAAGTGTCCAAACGCCTTGGTTTTCACAGCCTGTGGGCCGAAACTGCAAGGGTCCAACGGTTGATGATAAAAATCCTGGGCTTAGGGGTTCGGGGTTAGGGTTTAGGGGTTAAGGTTTAGGGTTTAGGGGTTAGGGTTTAGGGTTTAGGGAAATCTTGGGGGGTCCCTTTAAAGGGATCTGCATAGGGTGCCTTTACGGGGATCCTTTAAGGGACCTATCTAGGGTCCTAGGGTTTAGGGTTTATGATAAAAATCCTGCATGACCTTAAGGACCCTAGACTATGGGAAATGTGGGATGTTCCTTATTGTGGGTAATGCATGAGTTATACCATCAACCGAAGTACCCAATAATCATATTCTCTCCAAAGTCCTAACCTACATAACTACTATCCTAAAACCGAGCACCCAATTCTTGGGTCCTTTGGACCCTTAGGGAAAAGGATCGAAAAATGTGTCCTCAAATTCGACCCTGAGGGTGCTTGGAGGATCATGGGACTTGGTAAGTATGGTTATAAGTACCTGAATTGGGGTTATAAGTCATTATAACCGGAATTACCTTATTTAAAATCCATATTACTAAGTCCCATGATCCTTTAAGTGTCTTTTCAGTGTACCCCAAACCCTAAACCCTGAGCCCAAGCTTATAGCCCCGGAACCCCCCCCCCCTTCCCCCGAAGAAACCAAGCAACAGCCGTGCCTTAGGGCCTCATGTGTACGGACCGCCCGCACGGACTTCGTGCTTACTGGTTGCAGGCCTTCGCTGACAGAGGTTTAAAGGTTTCCAAGAGTGCTGGCAAAACCGCAATGAGCATGTAGAGGATGTAACGCAAGTCTATAGGGCTTCCAACCCGAAACCCAAAGCCCCCAAACCCCAAAGCCCTAAACCCTAAGTCCTAAACCCCAAACCCCAAACCCTAATTGCAATGTAGGTGCCTGAAAAGTTACGGTTTCTGTAAGTGTTCAGGGGTTTACGGCCTCGGGCCAAGGGGCTTCCCTAAAATAAGTGAATCATACATGGTTTAGAGTTTAGGGGTGGGTGGGGGGCCTCAGGTACCCTAAACCCTAAACCCAAAACCCTAAACCCTAAACCCAAAACCCTAAACCCTAAACCCTAATCATAGGAATAGGGGTTCCTTAAAGGGGTTCTGCATGGGCTACCTTCAGGGATTCAGGCCCCGAGGGCCTGACAACTTAGAACAGGATTTACGGCTACCTTGCAATACAAGAAGTGTAGCCCAAAGGCTCCATGTACCTTTATAGTAGGTACTTTGGCCTTAAAGGGGTCCCTATATAGGTACTTAAAGGCCTAAGTATAGACTAAAAGGGTACATGGAGCCTTAGGGTAGGGCATCCTAAGGACATCATACTGGCAATTTTTTGCAAATTTGCTTTACCATTCCATGAGGGTCCAAGTACCGATTTGTTATGTAGTTTGGGACCGACAACCCTACTACATATCTGGGTGTCTGGACTGGGTTCGGAAGGGTCTAGGGTTTAGGAATGCCATCGTATTGTAAAGTGCCTTGCTTCTGCTTTCTTCGAGAAGAAATAAAGATTCCTCTCTCTTTTCATAAGACTCCTTATGTACGAGGGGGTCCCTAACGCTCTATAAGCCTAAACTCCTAAACCCTAAACGGGTCAACAAAGGTTCCTATAGTTCAGGGAGAAGTCTTTAAGGTCTTTGGAAGAAATGCTCTTGAGGGTTTTACCCCTAAGAGTTCATGTACCCCAATAGTAGATACTATGGCCTTAACATAGTCTCTAAAAAGGTACTTTGGGGCCTAAGTATATACTAGTCGGGTACATGGACCCTCAGGATGCTACAGTTGATATACGCGTTCAACAACTAATCTCTGAACCCTAAACTCACAACAACATCGTGAGGAACACAAACAAAGCCCCATACCCTAGCCTTTGAACTGGAACTCCTTAAACAAGTTATGCTGCATGACCGCCCCCGTCCATTCACTAATCGGGACGTCCAAAAAGGACCACCCTGTGCTAGGGATTCGCTGATGTCTTGTCGCTGCAAGCGCTGTAAGTAAAGGAACCAGACTAATATAGGGTTTAGTAGGGTGTGCGGTGAGGCTTTCGGCATTACATAGATGAAACAACGAACATGCTGCAAATCAAAACTGCTTTTGCAATGAAACTCGCTAACGGTTCCCAGTATCAGCGGGGTGCCTTTCAAACGTAAGTACCCGCAGCCGCAACCCCGTCAATTCTGCACTAGCCCCAGACGTCGAGTTCAAGCAAAAAAGCTAAAACCCTGAAACCACTGCCCCAAAACCCCGAAGCCCTCAAACCCTAAACCGGCATAGATCCCTGCAGGTGCATACTTGTGTGTGTGTGTGTGTGCATATGCACATGCATATGTACGTATGCATGTGTAAGTGTACATGTGTGGATATATATGTATATATATATATATATATATATATGTATACACATAAGGCTCTGAAACCCACAACTGCTTTCAGAACCCTTGAAGATCACTTCAGCAAACCTCTACAGCTCTGAGGGTAACTCTAATACCGAAAGAAGGGCACTCCAAAACCCTTGAACAACCAACACAGTAACAGACTATCGCGGCTCAGTATGATGCTAAGGTATGTTCGACCCTACGAAAACGCCATAACACCTTGTATTAACAACCATCGCAGAACAAATCTCTAGGAAGACCTCCTTCTTATGGGTAATGAAGGGTATATATCATCAACCCTATGTACGTTGGTCTTGAGGTGGTGCCGTTTACCTCTACAGAGACCTCAGGGCCTATCTATCTATCTATCTATATATATATATACACATATAAATAGGGTTCAGGGATTAAGGTCTGTGTGTATATATATATATATATACATATACATGTAAATATCATAATATTTACGTAGTCATTGATGTATTTATTCGAGCGCATGGAGACTTAGGGCTACGAAAAAAACTACACTACCCTAAACCCACCCCTAAACCTTAAACCCTAAACCCCAATTACCGCGGGGCTTTTTGGAATTCCTGGGAACCCAAGTCGCGTGAGACGAAGGTCGCCAGGAGCTGTTCCAGCTCGTCCTAGGTCTTAGGGCTATCCCTCCAAGGACCTCACAGTTAGGGCCCTAGACCCCTTAAGGACCCCATAATAAGGTCCCTGGAGGCATAGGGTTAGGCTTCACGGCAGAAGCCCCAAAGTTGGACACCCAATAGCTTCAATCTTTAAGACCCTAAGGGTCCATGTACCCAAACAGTACATACTTAGGCCCCAAAGTACCTTTTTAGGGACCACTTTAAGGCCAACGTATCTACTATTTGGGTACATGGACCCTTAGGGAGAGTAATGTATAGGGAAACCCAGCACTAATTGTCCTTAATTCGGCTTCAGACGTTTTGGAGGCTCCCAAACCCTAAAGCCTATAGATCCCTTATAGGAACCCATAAAAGGAATACTTATAGATCCCTTTAATAATTAACAAAAGGATCTGTTTTTTTTTCTGCCTCGGGTGTTGCTTTCGTTTAAGTGCTTCTGTTGTCCTTGGACTTGCTCCTTGCAGTTCCCTGGGTCTCTGAAAATCTTCCTTAAGATCCACTCGAAACCCCACGAAGCCGCACACTTAAGGTAGGGGCCTTAATAATTAGAATCGGGTTTTGGGGGTATATTATACCATAATTATAATACGGAACCCCCAAAATAGTATAGGTAATTTTGAGGCCCCAATATTACAGGGTTTCCTGTCTTCGATTGCTTCGTAAATGTCCTCAAAACGGAAGGGTAGGGTTACAGAGTTTGCGGCTTAGGGTCTAGGGCCTTGTGGCGATTCAAGCAAACCCTGCATGCTGTGCCAAATAAAAGAGCAAGTCCTAGAAAAGAGCACCGCCACGACCCTCAACGAACACTTAGAACCAGAAGATATCAGAAGGGTTGAGCGCCTAGCCCTCAACCCAAGCGCCCTAATGCAAGGGCCTTGATAGGTAGAAAAGGATTTTGGGGCTGGCATCTTTTGTCTATTACTGAACTTAGAACCCTAGCAAAAACTGTGATTTTCGCTGTTTCTTAGGGATTATAATGACCAAAAATGAAAAATATTTCTAATAGTACCCCTAAGGAGGCTAGGGCTGGCCCCCTACATCGTGAAGTCCGGGGCCTTGTGATGTATGGCGGATCAAGGGCTTAGGACATCCACCCTCGGATTCTAAAAGTAGGGCTCAAACTCTAAACCCACTAAGCCCTAAGGGTCCATGTACCTAAATAGTATATACATTGGCCTTAAAGTATTCCCCTTATGGGTACATTGGGCCCAAAGTTATATTCTATTTGGGTACATGGACCCTTAGGGAAAGCAAGCTAAACCTCAAAACCCAAAACCCCTAAACCCCTAAACCCTAACCCCTACACCGAAACTAAACCCCAAAACCCTAAACATCCTTAAACCCTGGCTGACTTCAGCCGAAAGGCACGCTCCATGTCGAGAAAATTCTCTCCTGCCCCCGCCTCCGTGGGGTCCATGGCGTCACACATGGGTGGTTGTCAAAATTAGGGTCCCTTTTTGGGTACCCTAAATACTAGGTGCCGTACTATACCAGGGACCCAAAAAGGGGCCATAATTTTGACAACCACCCACACGGATGAAAATGACGTCGACTCCGTGAACACTGCTTACGTCCAGGAGCTGGAGGGCAGGACTAGTGAAAGCTGGGGGATTACGGAGGCATGTAGATTCCAATGTAGATCATATTTCAGCCGAAAATCTGCACGTCTGCCTTCGTCGTTGCCAGCAATACCGAAGCTCAAATCCACGAAATCCGAAAGCCTCTCACCCTAAACCCTGAACCCGAAATCCCAAACCTTAAACCCCAAATCAAAATTAAATCCACCAAATCCGAAAGCCAAACAGCGTGCTATCAGGACCACAGCAAATCGAAGAGTGTTCCGGTGTGTTGCATTAAGGCTAATTAAGGGTTTAGGGGATAGCATCACCACTTACTCAGGCTCTTTTGTGAAGCGCTGGACTTGGAATTGGGCACTTCCAGGAGAACCGCTTCGGTTTTATCGTGGGGTTGTGCTTCTTTGCGCCCGTTAAACCTTGGGTCAGGGCCCTTGTTGAAACGTGGACGCCCAAACCTCAACCCACCCGAAGCAGCGGCCTTAATAATTGGAGTAGGTTTGGTAATATATGATCCCTAAACCCTAAACCCTAACCCTTCAACAAGAACATCAGGAACTCTAAGGACTCATACAGACAAGATTCAGGCTTCTGTTTGAGGGTTCAGGGTTCAGGGTTTGAGGACCTGCACGTTCGGCCAACAAGAAAGGGGATGAAGTTCGTCTCATCATGGGTCGTAAAACAACTCGGCATCCTAAGGGGTAAGTTTTGGCATTGCATTATTTAAAACATATGTGATGCCCGAAAGGTTAAAGTCTACCCAACCTATTACAAAATCTTCGTGGCTGACTGGACGTGTGCAGCTGGAACGCGTTGGCTGACAGTAGCATGGCTGCGTTTCGAGCTTGCTTCTGTGACCCCTAAACCCTAAACCCTAAACCCTACAGTCGGGGGACTCAACCTTTCCCAAGTATGGTATTCGGAATCACTCCGAAACTTGTTGTGACACTGGTGGCAAGTGTTGGCAAACTGAATATCCTTGACCCTAGAACCACTGACCTTTGTCCGACTGTAAACATCGCATGTATTATAGGAACCCAACATTTTTGAGCAATGTCCTCAATGCTGGCCAGAAGACAGCCGAGCAGAACCCGTGCAAAGGCTGCAAGAGCAATCTACATCGCCAACCCCAACAATGCAAGCCCCGTGTGATTAACTGCCCTTTCCGACCACTTGCTATCATGTGTAATCCTGATGCCGCTACTTGGAGGTTCATGGGTAGTTATAGTGGAGTTATAAGTCCCGTAATATGGGTTATAACTATAGCTTCCCTAATTATAAGCCCACGTATAACTACCCCTGAACCTCCAAGTAGGGAGTTATATGCCAGGGCTCCACAGCCAGGCTGCCCTAAACCCTAAACCCCAAACCCTAAACCCTAAAGCCTAAACCCTAAATCCTCAAGCCCGGAAGGTCTGAGCCGAAGCACATGAGCACTGTCCACTGGATTTGAGGCAAACGCCTCAGACAGCGGCGCGGGGTTTACATATCGGTGCTTGTCAAAATTATGTAATACGGCACCTCATATTTTCAGAGTACCCAAAAGGGGATCCTAATATTGACCACCACCCATATATATATATATATATATATATATATATATATATATAGTAGAATCCAGAAAGCTGGAACATCATTACCTTCATTGGCCTTGTGGTAAAGTATAGGGACGAGGTTGCCTCTGAAAAATACTCGCAACTAAGCCCAATAAGGGAAAGTATAAAAATATCCCGAAGGCCTACCTAGGGGAATCCCGTTAGAAGCCCAAAAGTTAGAAACCCAATAGCCTCAGTCCTTAAGAATAGTGTGTAGGGGAATCCCAGCACTAGCCATCCTTCCCTAAGGCTCCATGTACCCTTTCAGTCTATACTTAGGCCTTAAAGTACCTATATAGGGACCCCTTTAAGGCCAAAGTACCTACTATAAAGGTACATGGAGCCTTTGGGCTTGAACCACGTTCCAAGTTTCTGGGGTTCACTGTAGGGCTTAGGCATGATTGCTGGTTTAGGGGCTTAGGGTTTAGGCGTTTGGGGGTTTGGGGGTTTAGGGTTTAGGGGTTTGGGGGTTAAGGGATTTAGGGGTTTGGGGGTTCAGGGATTTAGGGGTTTGGGGGTTTAGGGATTTAGGGGTTTAGGAGCTTGGGGGTTTAGGGTTTTTGGGTTTGGAGTTTAGGGCTTTGGGGGTTTAGGGTTTAGGGTTGAGCAGCTCCGGTTCGAGCAGTCTCGAGTCGAGCTCACTACTTTGGTATTAGAAATCATCCCACCCGCCTTTAGATCCCCATAACATTAAGAAAACATTTTACTTCTCTTAAACTCCAGGTCGTAAATCCTAAACCTTAGAAGGCTTAAACCCTAAGGCATGCCTGCACCCTAAGTCTTAAACCTTCAAGACTCAACCCTGGGGCCTAAGCCCCGAGGGCTAGACTGGCTAAAGCTTGAGGCTTAAACCTCAAAGCCAAAACCCCAGGCCCTACCTTAAGCCGGAGTAACCTACCTTTTTAGGGTTCCTTATTATGATTTCATGATATAAGTCCTTAAAAAGGTAGGCTATTCCTTCTTAAGGTAGAGCCAAAACCCTAAGGTTTAAACTCTATGGCCTAAACCCTAAAGTCTACACCCTAAGGCCTAAACCTTAGGGCCCAAAGCCTAAACCCTCGGGCCTAAACTCTAAAGCCTAAACCCTACCCTAAAGTCTCCACCCCAGGGCCTAAACCCTAAAACCTGAACCCCAAGGCCTGGGGCTTAAACCCTAAAGCCTAAACCCGAAGGTGTAAACCCTGAGGCTCAAACTTCCCCCCCCACCCCCGACCTTGGACCATTCGTGGTTTGAGGGGGGGGGGGGGGGGGGGGCAACTTGGACCGACTTGCCTTAAATCACGAATTGCCGAAGGTCGGGGGGGAGTTTTTGCCTTAAAACCCGGCTGGTGACGAAAGGCTCCGCCACCAACTGCCATTTAAGGCAAACCCCGCCCCCACCCGGCCTTGGACCATTCGTGGTTTAAGGCAAGCTTTAAACATGCAGAGCTTAATTAACCCAGAGACTCCAATATCCCTTAATTAAGGAATATTCCTTAAATTATCGTAGGATCCCCAATATGATTTAAGAAATATTCCTTAATTAAGGGATATTGGAGTCTCTGGGAATGCTGAAGGTCCTGAAACTTCCTTCGTGTAGCCACCTCAGGTTCTACGGACACTTGTTAGTTATGTCAACACTGAGCTGGGGCCCAAAGACCACGTCATGTAAAGCTGGGCATTATTTTGCGCCTGAATGCACCGCGTCTGATGCTGACGTCGCAGGCCCAAACTCCAGAGAAGTAATATAAGACAGGGATCTGCATGCCATACATATATACATAAACACCTTAGTACATTAATACATTGATACATTGATACATTAGTACAATAATACATGAATACAGTAACACATTGATACAGCTCTACATACGTGCATTAGTACATACATACAATAGGACATTAATACATTAATACAAACATACATAAATGCATGCATGCATGCATAGATAGATGCATACGTACCTGCATAGCTACACCTGTAAGAGTGCAGGGTTTAGGGTCTCAGTGTCCGCAGACCCAAATCGCGTAAACTCTGGCCGTAAAGTACCTATATGGGGACTACTTTGATGCCAAAGTATAACCTATTTGGGCACGTGGACCCATAGGGTTAACTTTGCCTACACCCAAACCGTAACCCTAAACCCTAAACTGTAATTAAACCAACAGTGCCCTTCTGGCCCTGAAGAGGCCCTTCACCACCTGGAAGGAACACGTAGAGGAACCCTAGGTAAGCCCTCAAGAACTAAACCTGATATGGGTGCTTTGTCACCGGACACACTAGAGCGTACAGCGCAAGGCAACCTTGTCATGGATATGGCGGCTTTATCATTACAACAGGCTTGCATCTCCTGGAACATCATACTGCAACTTTGACTAGGACCGCCCCAACCCTAATAACTAAAGCCTGAACAGTAAGCCCTTATGCTAGAAGCCCAAAAGTTGGAAACCCAATAGCCCAAACCCCTAAGAGAAATGTATAGAGAATCCTAGCACTATTTGTCCTGTATCAGGCTTCCAACTTTCTGTGGGTGACTGTAATACTAACTTATAATCCGTAAAGCTCCATGTACCCACATAGTATATATTTAAGACATAAAGTACCCATATAGGGACCCCTTTAAGGCTTAAGTATCTATATACTATAAAGGTACATGGAGCCTTTGGGTTATGCATCGCCAAGTCCGGGGCCACGGTTGTTGCATGGGTCTGCGAGTTCGCACCAGGCTGTTTCGAAATACCTGGTGGCGAGATTGACTCGGAATAGAGCTCCCTAAACCCTAAACCCTAAACCTTAAACCCTAAACCCTAAATCCTAAACCCTTAACCCTAAACCCTAAACCCTAAACCCTGAACCCTAAACCCTAAACCCTAAACCTTAAACCCTAAACCCTAATTAGGCCTTTAGGTGCTCAGGGTTTGAGGGTTTAGGGTTTTAGGATTTGGGTTTTTTCGGGTTTGGGCTTTGGGCTGGTGGGATTTGGGGCCTCTTCTTTTCGGGCTGAGGGTTTCCCCAAGGGTCCAAGAACCTTACAATCATGTAATATACTCTCCAAAATCCCAACCTACATAACTACTATCCTATGACCGAGTACCCAATTCTTGGGTCCTTTGGACCCTTAGGGTTTGATGAGAATCCCACAACTCTGCAAAGAGTTCAACTCTGCAGTCTTCAACTAGGATGCCCAGTAACCTAGGAATAATAATAGCTCCCTTTTTGGTATTGGGTAGCTTGATAAGGAACCTAGGACTACAAAAAGGGAATACGGGTACTACTGGGC